ACTATACTCCCCACTTCCTCAAAATCGTTACATCTGCATAATGTTTTTTGTGTTCCAAAATTGCGTAATAATCTCGTTTCTGTTGCCAAACTGTGTAAATCTAACCGTGTCTCTGTTGAATTCTTTCCACATTATTTTGCTGTCAAGGATCTTCACACGGGGGCGTGTCTAATTCTGGGGGTGAACATTAATGACATCTATTACGCAGCCATTCAGTCTCTTCGTCAACTACCTCAACTAAACACTATCACCACTTCAACCAATTCTCTTCATTCATGGCATCACAAGCTGGGTCACCCGTCTATCAAAGTTCTCAAGTCTCTTTTTAGGCAATTACGTTTAGAGTCAAGTTCAATGTATTTCAATAACTTTCATTGTGATGCATGCTCCATTAATAAAAGTCATAAACTACCATTTGGTAGCAATTCATTTGTTGCCTCTAAACCTCTTGAACTTGTCTACTCTGATGTTTGGGGACCAGTTAAACAATCTAATGATGGCTTCCTTTACTATGTCATCTTTGTTGATTTTTTCTCCAAGTATACCTGGCTTTATCCAATGAAGAAAAAATCTGATGTCTCAATATTATTTCCTCAATTCAGAACCTTGGCTGAAAAATACCATAAAACCCCTCTTATCTCTCTGTTTACAGACAATGGTGGTGAGTATCTTGCTCTCACTTGATACCTACAAGAAAATGGTATCTCCCACTTCACAACACCCCCACACACACCTGAGCAAAATGGAGTTGCAGAAAGACGACATCGACACATTGTTGAAAGCGGTCTCTCTCTCTCCTTCACCATGCCCACCTTCCTCTCACTTTTTGGTCTCATGCCTTTCAAACGGCTGTTCACCTAATTAATCGATTACCCACATCCATTCTTGACAATATCTCTCCCTACCAAAAGCTTTACAACTCCCCACCTGCATATACCAATCTTAAACCCTTTGGTTGTCTCTGTTTCCCTTGGCTTCAGCCATATGCAGTCACCAAACTCCACCCTCGTTCCGCTAAATGTATTTTTCTTGGATATTCAGCATACAAATGCTATGACCCTATATCCCACAAACTCTATCACTCAAGACATGTTCAGTTCATTGAACACACCTTTCCCTATGCTTCTATCTCTAATGATACCAGCCCACTTCCCACTACAAATGACTTCCTATCAACCGAGCCAACTACTACTGCTACTGCCTCATCCCCTTGTGTTGTACCAATCCTCCAAAACATTATCCCTACTATTCCGCAGCCCACTCCAACAGCTGATCCAATTGTTGATCCAACTTCAGCACCCACTACTCCCACTTCACCGATAAATCACTCAACTACAGCCCCTCTAACATCTCCTTTCAACAGCCCACATCACAATCCTCCTTCGTCCAGCTCACAAAATACTCTCATTCAGCCCAGCTCCACACACACACCAAATCCGCCCAGACCCTCCATCATCCCAAATGATACTGATAATACTCGTTCCAGCCCATACCCTCCTCCCAGAAATCGCACCCGCAACCCAAAATATTATAACAAAAACCTTGTTAACACCACCACTATTCATCCGATACCACCCACTATTGAACCTACCACCCACCTTCAAGCCAGCAAGGATACCCAATGGCATCATGCCATGGAAGCTGAGTTTAATGCACTCATACACAATCAAACTTGGGAACTAGTTCCTCCGGCATCTCATAAACCCATTGGTTGTAAATGGGTCTTTCGAATCAAACGTAAACCTGATGGCACAATTGATAAATACAAAGCTCGTTTAGTTGCTAAAGGCTTTCATCAACAGTATGGGAAAGATTACTTTGATACTTTCAGTCCAGTCACAAAACCGGTTACTATTCGAACTGTTCTCTCTATTGCTCTTTCCAATAATTGGCCTCTTAGACAACTGGATGTCAATAATGCCTTTCTCCAAGGTACCCTTCATGAAGAAGTTTACATGGTACAACCTCCGGGCTATACTCACCCACAATTCCCCAATCACCTTTGTAAACTCAAGAAATCCATTTATGGCCTCAAACAGGCTCCTCATGCATGGTACACTGAACTCACCAATTTCCTCACTCACTGTGGCTTCAAGAAGTCTCTGGCAGATCCTTCTCTATTCATCTATAATACCAATCACATTATTAGCTATTTTCTAGTCTATGTAGATGATATAGTACTCACAGGAAACAATTCGTCCTTCCTCTCTCAATTCATTTCCGCTCTCAGAAACAAATTTTCCTTGAAAGATCTTGGAATGCTTCACCACTTTCTCGGTGTTGAAGTCATTCCCACACCATCTGGTCTATTTCTGTCTCAACATCGTCACATTCAAGATGTTCTCACTCAGTTTCATATGGACGGTGCAAAGGAAGTCTCCACCCCTCTAAGCACCCCTGAACCCCTATCAGCTATTGACTATACTCCTACTATAGATGCCACACCCTATCGCAAACTTGTAGGGTCACTCCAATACCTAGCTTTCACTCGTCCGGATATCTCCTATGCCATCAATAAACTTTCTCAATTCATGCATGCTCCTCGTCAGTCTCATTGGCAAGCTCTAAAACGTCTTCTTCATTATCTTAAGGGTACCATTCACTATGGTTTGTTTCTCAATCGTACCTCTCCTCGCACACTCACAGCTTTTTTAGATTCCGATTGGGGGGTGTTAATGATGCAGGTAGATCCACAACCGCTTATTTACTTTATTTTGGTTCTAATATTGTTTCTTGGAAGTCTACAAGGCAAAAGTCAGTCTCCAGATCCTCCACTGAAGCAGAATATAAGGTATTGGCAAATGCTTCGGCTGAACTAGCATGGCTCAAGAACTTGCTACTCGAACTCGGCATATTTATCACACACCCTCCTACTCTCTTTTGTGACAATACAGGTGCCACTTATGTCTGTGCGAATCATGTCTATCACTCGCATATGAAGCATGTAGCTCTAGACTATCATTTTGTTCGTGAACAAGTCTCCACGGGTCTTCTCAAAGTTCATCATGTTCACTCCCACGACCAGCTTGCAGATATGCTCACCAAACCTCTATCCCGAGCTCCATTTCTTCGCAATCATTCCAAGATTGGAGTATCCGATGGATCCTCCATCTTGCGGGGGCGTATTAAGGATATTCACAAATAGATTATCTTATGTATAATTAGATATTATCACGTGTAATTGTATAGTCAAATTACCTAGTCTAGCTGCTACTTATTCTCCTGTAAATATGGAACACTCAAACCTTTGTATTCAACCTATATAAGGCAATCGTATTAATGAATAGATTCAAGACTTTCACAGCATCAATTACTCTCCATATTTCTCTCATTTTTTTGGTTAATTTTTCAGCCTGATCATTTGTGTAGTAAAAATACTCACCACAACGTGGTAATCCCATTACCGAACCCTAAAAACACATTCACTTTTTACCATTCCTCTAAAAAAAACACCACGGAGCTGCGCATCTCTGAATCCTAAAGATCTTGCTTTCAAGTTTCCATTTTTCTTGTGTTAATGTTTAATCAACTTCGAAGGTACAATGACATGTAGAGGAGCTCGTAACCAACAACATAGGAGAAACAAGATGACCCAAATGCGCCTCCATTGCACCCATTTTACCGATTCCGAACAAATATATCTGAACAATTGACACAATACAAGAACCTTTTTGGATGGCTACAAAGGAAATAAATTTTGGTTTCACCAACAAATGAATGGGCACAGTTGACTGGAATGGGAATCATAGATCGAGTAAGACCTTATCCTTAGAAGATTTTTGTTGGAGACAGGTTCACATTTTCATGCAAAGGGTGGTGGAACCTATTTCACATCTTTGAACCGTTGTACAAGGAGTTGTGTATTGAGTTCTTTTCGACAATTATCTTTGATGAGAATTACGAAGATGTCATAAACCGGAGAGCGTTTTCATTCCGGCTTAGGGGCAAATCCATCAGTGTAGCATCGAGGAGCTTGGAGTCCGAATTGATATTTATAGTAATGATATTGAATTGAATACTCTCGTATACAATTTAACTAAAACTTATGATTTAAAGTTTTTGTGACCAAATTCCGCAATGATAATTTCAAAATAATGTAAAGGTTTAAAAATGAATTTTAAAGGATAACCTAATTTATACTAGAAAGTATGATAGGTATTTCATGTCACCCTTCATGAAAGGATGAGGCTATTTGGATTCGAGGAGTTGGGAGGGTCTTAAGCATTTAACCCAATACATAAACAGTGGGGGATAATAACTTTAAGGATAGTTATATAATCAAGTCTTTGTTTTTAGTTCACTACAAGTAAAGTCCTTATCAGTGACCAATTTTTAGTGACCACCAAAAATCTAGTCACTAATAATATCAATTAATGACGATAAATTTAGTGGTCACTGAATTTTGGTAATGCTACAAATTTAGTTACTAATTTTATAATGGTCGTGACTCACCAATCACAAAACGGTAGAAGTAAAACCAAAATATATTTTTGGCATCATAAAAAGTATTAGTGACTAAAATGATGGTCACTGAATTCAAGACTTAATGACAAAAAAAAAATATCACTGAATTGAAGATCATCGAAGATTTAATGACCAAAAAGAATGGTCACTAGCTACTTACTTTTATATGTATGGGCTGGGGAAAAAAATAGTCATCATTGTCTATGAATTAAAAAAAAAAAATCAGCCATCATTGTCTATGGATCTAAAAAAAAAAAATCGAAAGTTCCACACTAAACATTCATTTTAACACCATATGAACTTTCCAATTATTATTATTATTATTATTATTATTATTATTATTATTATTATTATTATTATTATTAAAATATAGAGAATTTATATAAAGATCCTACGGTCTTAAAGCTTAAATAATTAATTTCAATAACTATTAACTAACTGTAATTTGTAAATACATAACCCATTCGGGTTTATCCATCAAACCTTTTATTATAGCACTAGCATTAACAACAAAAATAGTTTCTTTATATTACATCCTAATGGTAATGTCGTAAAGACAGTAAGGCCCTTTAGGGCTTAGGCTTTGATTTGTAGTTTTCCCTAAATCGAGGATCCATTAATCGATACATAGGAAGTAGCAAGCATACTACAACTCCATACGTCGATACTCGACGACTCGACGTACCTCTCTCGTCTATCCACAACTCCACCAGCGTCGCTCCATCCTCTCCCGTCAACGTGAGATCTAGAGACACCGATGCCACAACTCCACTGACATCGCTCCATCCTTTCCCGTCAACATGAGATCCAGAGATGCCGATGCCCGAGAAGATTTCCAACATCAACTCAATAAGAAAAGGAACATCGCCAAGCTTTGCGTCAGGTCAATTCCATATGTATTTTCTGAATTAGCTTCGTTCTGGTTTTTATTTTTGTTTAATTCAAGAGCGTAATTGTTCAATCGAGGTAAGATGAAATTGGGGCTTTGTGTTTAGAAATTGAAGAATTTGTATCTGTTTTATACTTCTTATTGTATGATTGTTCTTCGTTTAGTTGGAATGTCGATTGGATGATGAGATAGATAACATCTAATCACATATTTTTGTGGTTTAATTCTAGCCTTTTGACAGATTCTAAGACCTTATGGACATCCAGCCATATGTAGGATTATTGAAGTGAATGGAGGTAAGGACTCTATAATAAACAACTCAATGGTAATATCATACTTCTAAATACTTTCTAATGTAACTTATTATGCTGCTATTTTTTCCCGATTCAGCCAAAAATATTTAATTTTGAGACTCCTAGACATCATGGTACCTCATTAACATGTTCTGTATCATGAAGCAATATTGAAAGTACATTTTGTTATGAAGAAGATGTAGTGGAAGTAAATATTGAAAATTTTGAGCTCAACTCAGAGTATTCTGTAAAATATGATCAAGTTTAAGCATAAGCATTTCGTTTTTAACCTGTTATTACTATCCTTTAATCCATTGCATCCTATTATTGTCAAGATATCAAATAATTATTCAATGTTAATTCCTTATGAAACTCTTTGCATTATCAAGGTGTGTTTGGCGATTCTAAAAAGGATAAGTAACGAGAAATGAGGCCGTCAACACAAAAATCAATAGACGTATAAAGTTGCAAGTGAAAATGTTTGGTAATATACTCCCTACCATGATTTAAGCATATGAATATGATTATCTTTGGTTGTTTGGTTAACATGTTTTTCCTTCACTATCAAAATTCAAAACCTTTTTTTCATATATCTACCTATATATATTTTCAGGTCCAAGGGTTATCTGAGATGTTGAAAACCAATCTGGACAGAGGAGTACAAAGAGATGAAGATGAATTAAGAAACATGAGAAATGCCTTTGGATCTGACACTTATCTTGTAAAAAAGGAAATAGCTTCTTTGTATGTTATATCTCTACACCAACTATTTCTCCGTCACTATTATTTACAGCTATAGTTGACCATGGCTAATGTTGACCACAGATGTTCCTTTGGGAAGCTTGGCAATATTTAACACTTATTATACTGATAGTAACTCTTGCAGCATCACTTGTGCAAGGAATAAAGACAGAGACAAGTTTGAAATAATACATTCTCATATATATATAGTTATTCTGGGGTTTGTGATCATTATGACTCCTATTTGTTTCAATTTTTATTTGAAGAGTTGTGGTTTCCTTCTGTAGGGTATTGAAGAAGGATGGTATGATGGAGGAAGCATTACCTTTGCTGTTCTTTTGGTTATTTTTGTGACAGGTGAGGCAATTGCTTTTTTTCCCATTGTTTATGATATATATACAATGTACTTTTCTCATATATATTGTTGTTTCTATAAACTATAATATCAACGAGTGATTGTAGACAATCCCTGCAATTTCAGAATCTAAATGAGGCAAAGAGAAATATACAAATAGAGATTTGTGTGGTAAGTTAATGAGTGAGATATTATTATTATACCTTTAGTTGTCTTCTTAGCATATGCAAATTCAAGCAGATAACTAGAGATGGGAGAAGAGAAAAGATTTCAGTATATGATGTAGTTGCTGGTGATGTAATACCTCTTAAAATAGGTGATCCGGTAGGGAGTAGAATATGCTCAATCTTAGATAAAGGTTACTCAAGAAGCAGCACAAGGCAGTAATGAGCCAAATATTTTTATATTTTTTTATGGTAAAGATGTTGAATCCATCTTTAAATGTTTGGTATAATCCCACTTTGTATATTTTTTAGTCATTTAAGTACTGTATACTTTGGGTTCTATTAAATTTGTGAACAATTTATGTTTATTATTTCATGAGATTAATTTTGATAAATAGATCATATTATATTTTTACCGTTGACTAGTTTAATGTTAGTTACTTAAATTGGTTAAATATAAGAATTAATAACAAAAATCATTGATGAGCTTTTTTTGTAACTAATTGGATAAACCAGTGATGGCTTTTTATGGTCAGTTGGTCACTACTTGGATAAACAGTGACAACCTTCTATGGCCACTAATTGGATAAGTAGTGACGACTCTTTACGGTCACTAATTGGATAAATCAGTGACGATTTTTTATGGTCACTACTTGGATTAACTAGTGACGATTTTCTATGGTCACTAATTGGATAAGATAGTGACGACTTTTTCTGGTCACTAATTACATAAAATAGTGACGACTTTTATTGATTAGTGACGACATTTAGTGACGAAACAGATCGTCACAGATTTAGTGACAGTATATTTCAGTCACTATTTAGTGACCGCTGTTATATTTCGTCACTTATCAGTTTTTGTGACGGACCTATAGTGACGAAAAGTGACGACCAAAAGTTTGGTCACTAAGTCATTTAGTGACGACTCTTTCTATTGTTAGTGACAATTTCGTTTTCGTCACTAACTGTCATTTTTTTTGTAGTGGTTTTTCGAAATTCATTTTTTCTGCTTTCTATACCTATGTTTCAAAAAAAATTATTCTTCAACAACATAAACATACCCATTTCTTTCTCAAAATGGATACACACTAAAGGTGTTCATTATCCTACTTGTGAATAGATTTTTTCTGTATAAAATCAATGTGTCTGACTCAACGCCATATATGACCTATAAAAGAATTTTAAATAAGTTTTAAGCAAGTATTTGATTACTTACTACTCTGTTCTATTTTTAGAACCTCCTGTAATCTTTATTTGATTAATGAAATTATATTGAAAAAGAATCATGTGTGTTTAGTTTACAAAGATAGCGTTCCATTCATTTTCAATCAATTCACTAAAATACAATTATGTGCTTCATTCAATCTCGGGCCAACAGGTTCATAATATTGGTTTTGATAAGGTTTATTTTGAGAATATTGGATTCACATTAGGTAAAAACAGAAGAAATTTGTTGCACTTTCTTTTTCACTAAAAGAAAATAATCTAAAAATAGTGACCAAATACTCATCGCAAAATTCCATTCTAAAAATGAAGTATCAATGATGGAAATGCATATTGTAACATTATTTGAGGTTACGATTTAATCACCATATATATTAGCTGTGAAATAAAGTAAAAAACGAGCTGCTTTCTATTAGAAGAAAACAAATGACAATACATGGAGGTATCTAAAATTCTTCCAACAAAAAATATGGATTTTACAAAGGTCGAAACTCAATACCTTGCACAATGATCTCTGGCATATTGAAATCACAATGCCTGAGGCCTCTCCAGTCCATATCTATGTTAATCAGTGGGTCACAATCAAGGCATAAAGAAGCGAATTTGGTTGCAACATAATCTTCCCCGTCACGTATTAGGTCGGACACACACGGAAGACAAGGTAGGCACGTAGATATCCTGAAAAGAATAATATATCTACTGTTTAAACAAAATAAAACTATAAATAGATTGTTCTTTTTTTTTTTGAACAAAATCTTCTAGCTAGCGGACTAATCATTCGGAAAAAATCATACCATGGAAGAAAATTTGGGATCCACTTTTCATTATCACCAGCATCAACAAATGTAATAAATTCCCCTAACTTCACCTCCCACCAACCATCACTCCTCCTTCTTGGATATGCTATCATGTTGGTTTTGTTCATTGTGCTATGAGATTCTTTATAACTATCCAGTTGATCTCCTATTACATGGCTCTGAGGTGTACTCAAATACACAATATTTTGCTGATTATACCATCGTTTGTTTTCATTGCGTGGTTTTCTGGACATGCGTTGTGTAATTCCCACAATAATTGGATTCTCCACATGTCCTTGTATCTTATAAACGAGGTCACACGAATAACTAGTATTTGTTGACAAAAAAGAATCTATGATCTTCAATGATATGCGGGGTGTATATGAAGGTGAAGATTTTAATACCAATACATATCTGAATCTGTATTGGACAACAACGATTAGGGTATGCCGTATAAGATAATGGGATTTTCTAATATGTATCTAAGGACAGATATAAGAAACATTAATTGATGATATATATTACTATAATTAATTATAAAATACATTAATTATAAGAAATATTAATGCATTAATAATTTCCATAATAAATGTATTTCGAATTTAATTATGGTAATATTTTTCATAATTAATATTTCTTATGTGTGCCCTTAGAGCACATATTAGAAAATCCCTAAGATATTACAGTCTACTTATCACTAATATTTAAACAATGTGATCCACCTATTTGTTCGGTTCATTATAATTTGTTAACTATAACGCTATTTAATTAGTATATACTTAAATGAACCAATTTTATATATTCTCTCTAATAAATGAAAATCTTTTTGCTACATGTCACACTTACATTGATTTTTATCACATATCATTTTGTGGTTAATTTCAATTAAATTTTCTCCACATGACATTTTATGTTTTTTTTTTTTTTTTTTTTCATTTTATTAAATCCACATAATATTAAATGTAATAATTGTAATAATTGACTTTCCTTCTGATTCCAAGCTTTTTAAATTAAAGCTTCATTAGTTTCCTTTGTTTATTTATCTATTTTTTTTAATTCTCAAGAAAAAAACACTTTAATTTTAATAATTCAATATTTTTCTAATTTTTTATTATAAATTTTAATTTTTTCAAATGTTCAGAATTTTTGTATTTAATTTTTTTAAATGAAGCTATGTAATACATGAATCTTACAACTATTCTACTCTTTTAAATAATGCAATCCTGGAAAAATCATTTAGTTTAGTTCAAATGAGAGAGAGAGAGAACCGTGATTCAAATAGATATTTAAGTTTGAGCTCGTCTGATGAGGAAGATTTAATCAACTCTGGTGATAACATACAACATTTCTTTCCATTTGAATCGTTTATCCAAAACCACTGCAAATAAATATTTTTAAGCATTTTATTAGTCATTTCAACAATGTATTTGATAGTTTGATAATTACATATCTTATGTTTTCACTTGTTTTGGCATCACATCACCTTAACGTTTATATATATGAAATGTAAGTAAGCTAAAAGGTGAAGGATCAGAGGTAAATTTTGTGAAGGTTACCAAGTTAAAATTAGAGACTCACCACATCAATATCTTTAGAACCTGTCACTTTAATGTAAACACCCTTGGAAAGAACGGAGTATGCATGCCATTTGGTTTTGATAGGAACGTGATTTTGAGGGTTTTCCCTAATCTTTCTACGTGCTAGGAGTTGTTGGTAGTCGGTTGGTAATAAATTTTCCCATGTTGGAGGATTCATAACATCTTGTTTGCTGATTTTTTTACCATCAAACTGTAAAGAACATATATAGTAAAGTGTAAAAGTAATATCCATAGCCAAAATGTATTTAAAAATATCACAATGAATGGGTAGAATAAAATTTATGTTCTAACGTACCTTCTTTTCTGGCAAAAACAGGATACCTTCAACAACCACTTCATCTTTTCGTGAATAAGAATCCACGTAAATTTGTTCTAGAAAAATTTTGATTTCAACATCTCTTCTTTTACTATTGGTCCGAAAGAGTTCGATCATCACCCATCCATTTTCCATATAATCTCGAATATATGAAATGTAAGATTTTTTTTGGTTGTTCAGTTTGTACTTTAGACCCGCAAGTTTCGGTGATTCAAATAAATGGGATACTTGTTTGCATACGAGGTAAGCTGCATATATGACATCGGATGATAAAAAATTTGTTTTGACCTCCACTTGCATATCAACCTTGGAGACATTCAAAATCTTTGCTACCTTCCCGAATCTACATGTAGACCATATACATACAACTACATTAGTTCCTTCATGAATATATAAATAAGTCATTCGATCGTTTCATGGTGAACTCATTAAATAATGTATGGAATTTGTGCATATGTGACTAGATAAAGTTTTATACAAAAATGAGAAATAACCGAGATTCAAGGTAAGAGATGGCTTTAAATTTGCTTGGATCTGGATTCATGAACTTCATTGCAGATATCATTTCTTGATTCTTTCCATTACCATCTATAGAAAACCACTGCAAAAGAAAAGAAATCATTAATATATCCATGTCGGAGTAAATCAAGCTTCGTGGTAGTAGATCTTATAAAACCATGTCAGAGTAAATCAAGCTAGGATTTAGATAACCACAAACCCATAAAACTAAATTGGAAAAGATACATTGATGTTGATAGGAAGAAATGTGTCCATTGTTGGGCGTGACATGCCCTCTACGATTGATACCGGGAAACCATAAATTTCCCCACAAGTTCCCTCACTTGTTGTGCAAGAAACAAATCTAATCTGATAGATTTTGAAATTTGGATATTCCATCTTTATTTAAATACTAGGTGTGAGACTCGTATGTTATACGGGTTTGATAAAACAAAAAATTCAATATGCAAGTTTAAACAAAATTTTATTTAAATTTGAAATTTTAGATTTGAAATTTGAATTTAAAAGAAAACATATTAAATACTATATGAATACTAATATTGTAATTGATTGGTTATTTTCAATTAAGGCAATTATTAATTGTGGTGTAAATATGATGTGTTAATTAAGAAAATAGAAAAAAAAAAGAGAAAATGACAAATGGAAAAAAACAATTATTCAAAAATACCAAGAAATGACATGTGTCCAAGTTAATAAGAGAGTGACATGTGACAAAATTATTTTCATTTATTAGGAAGGATTATTTAGATAGTGATTTAAATTTTAATATTTAATTTATTTATATATTGTTTATAACTTTAATTAATAAATTATAATATTGAAATTAAATTAATGTTAACTACAACTTGGGTCCTCGTATGTTCAATTAAAATAATTAAAGACACCTAAATTTAAAATTTATAAATTTCTTATATATATATATATATATATATATATATATATATATATATATATATATATATATATTATATATATATATATATATATAAAGCTAAAAGAGAGGTTTAAGGTAGTCACTCTCTGAGGTCGGTTTTTAAAAGCTCAAAGCTTACCACCCTCACATCCTCTTTACATTTTGAGAGTAAAGTTACCGAAAGGGTTTGATTCAATAAGTGTTCAAGTTAAAGTATTAACTTAAAAATATAAAACAAATCCCATTTTATTAAAAAATATGAATCTTATGTTAACCATGAAATATGCGCATTTTTCTTTAATATGTTAATGGACCTCGTGTGGTTAACGACACATCAATTTGAAAGTATAGTTGAGAATTGTTGCTATGTGGTTGCCTGGATGCATGTGTGGTTACCCATGTGCGAGCTCCTTCCAATGGTCACTCCTGGCAACACACTGCATGAAGTTGGCAAAACTAGGTTAGAAAGCCAAGTGTTGGACCCCAATATTGCTCTCATATGCCTAAGTTAGAAGTCATATCTAAGGCATGGATGTTGAACTTGCTAGAATTACGAAGAGTTAAGGCTTACCTCCTTTGGGTTGGACATGGCCTTGCTTTATAATCAAGGCTCATACTGGTTCATGATCCCTTCTTTTGGGTTTTGCATTGGTCCTTAGGCCACAAGGGTAAAGCTCTTTTTTATTAAAATAATCTTCCATTTTCTATGTTTCATTGGGATGCTTCATAAGGTGTGTACTAGAGTAGGGTGATTCATGTCCTACGTGCTTAGTATCATTCATGCACTATTTAACCGGGTCGGGTGCATTGGTTGGCCTAGTGCTATATGGGTTGAAACCCATACCCCATTAAGCCCCCAACCTAATTTTTATAAAGCATCACTACTTTATAATAATTTGGCTAAAATAGTTATTGCCTTTCCAATTCCTTCAAGTTTTAGTGATTGCATGATGTATTGTCTCACGCGACTAGATCTCCATGGGGCCCATAGGCACTTGGATCGTTTTTGTAGCAGTTGGCTTTCCCACTTCTCTTCTCATCAATGCTTGTCAGATCTTTAACAACTTTGATTCTTCCTTTTTTTTTATTATTCTCTTTGGTCTTTATCTTCCTTGATACCTCGTTTCTTTTGTAAGGAAATGTCTCGATAAGTTATGTTCATTCTTCCCTTAACCGCGAATGCCTTAAACAAGTTTCGGCTAAGTATCATCTTGTTAAAGGGGATGGTGTTGCTCTTCCTGGTCCAGATGTTGTGATCGATCGTCCTCCTCTGGGTAAAGTTTGTTTTTATCTCTATTATTTTGAGGTTGGTCTTCATGTGCCTCCCTCCCCGTTCTATAGATCGATTATTGAAGCGTATAATATTCATACTTGTTAATTAAAACCTAATTCCATTTCGAATGTTATATGCTTTGAGTTGCTTTTTCATGCGTCTTTGGTTATACCCACACTTTCTTTATTCCAGTACTTTTTTATTATTTGTAGTAATAGGGCCTAGTATTATTTTCGGCCTATGGGATGGAGTTTTATTGAGGGTCTTCTGGATTCCATAAAAATTGGAAAAATGAGTTTATCTAGTTGAATACTTCTTGCTTCCCTTATCGGAATGAATTTCATCTTCCTTGTACGATTGATGATCAAAAGCCTGACAATACTAGTGATTTGGGCCAAGATATAGATAAGATTTCTCATTTCAATGTGATGATGAAGAAGTTTCCTGAAGCCGTGTTGGGTTAGGTTGGCATCATTCTATACTGGTTCCACCTTGTAGTTGTTCTCACTTTGTTCGTCCATGGTCCATGTATTTTTCTTTCACAAATATTACTCCCCTTGCTTTCCTTATGTGTACTCATCTTATTTGAATTTGTTTAGATGGAGATCGGTTGCCATTCCTTTTGTCTGACTTTGTAGAGGGTAAGATTGTGGCACGTGATCTTGGCTCTGTTGACTTTGACCTTCCTATTATCGATGATAGTTTTACTTATAGCGGTAGTACCGGTAGTAACACACAAGAGGAGGAGGACTCTGACTTGTCAATTAGGGTTCATGACTCCTACGATGATACGATTGGAAATCATACTCCACATGTTTTAACTGGTCTTGTGGCTGTTTTCTATGATGATGGGAGTGGAGAGCAACCGTTAATTCGTCATAAGAAAGGGAGGGATTCTGTTGCATCAACCACTTTAGCGGTAACTTTAGAGTTCTCAATAGGTCTCGTTCCTTAGATCTTGGGGCTTTTTCTTCATTCGCTACTAGCCTTGGTGTTGGTCGTCCTGCTACATATATTGCTCAATTGAACGCTAACAGCCCCCCTTATGATACTAATACTCCTCATTTGCTAGTCCTATTTATGCTCCGTCTTGGAATATAAGTGAGAGCAAAGTTTAATGTAGCCTAAGGTTGTTGTTTCCTTTTTTGAATATTTTGCTTCCCTTGGAACCCACTCAAACGTTAGCCAAGATCGTAAATAGCATATCCGAGATAAATCCAAGATTAAACTTGTTGAGAACATGGCTCTAGGTTAGGAAGTTATCTCATGGCTCGAAGAAAAATGAGGCCTTGCATCTAGAAAATCGTGGCCTTCGTGATGAATTTAAGACGGTATATGAACTTGTAAAACTGCTTGTGGTTCTTTCTGGTGGTGCTTCCCACAATGTGAAATCGTTCCGTGACCAATATGTGAAGCTTGTGGATAGGTTTGATGAGTTAAAGAAGGTCTCTCCTAGTGTTGATATGTTTTCTCAAGCGGAGATGGACATGGTAAGGTGTGAACTATCTGTTATGCAAAATGAATGACAAGGTTGTTTTGGAGAATAAGCTGGCTTGTTATCAGGATGAAGTTTCGACGTTGAAGGCTATGGTGACATCCCTTGAATTAGAAAAAGTTGGTTTGGTGGACAAAAAAGTTATGCTTGTAACGTATGGTTCCTTTTATCTCAAATAATATGAGGATTGCAAAAAAAGGAGAAGAATGTAGATGATAGAAAGATAAGAACTCATATCCTATATTTGTGGTATTCTCAATCAATATGTATGTGAGTGTGTGTGTGTGTATATATATAGATGTTTATTATAGAATGATATTGCTAATGACCACACTTGATAGCTAGTTAGTACTAATAAATTATTTATTTATAGTAATTTGATTATTAAAAAAATATAATCAATACTTTTATTTAATGGGAAAAACATTATTTAATGAAAATAATATTTTACCAACATATTAGGAATTATTGTTTACAGGAAATAATAATAAAAGAAACCAAAAAATATCTAAATATCATATGGTATGAATATAAATGGAGTGTACAATGTTTTGGGCGCTCAAAGTAACCATTTAGTTAAGATAGAACTATGTTATCGGTTAAGTATGAAGAACTCCAAATTTTGTCTTCTTGTCCAAAAGGCTGAAATACCTAGGGATGGAGTGAGATTGTTGTTGCATTTGTTTAATACTTCATCCCATGCGTGTAAGAAAGTTCCATTCTCTCATTGTTATATGTCTAACATTTGTATATAAATACATGAATACAAAAAAGGAATTAGCTAGATAAGAAATGGTTGCCTTTTTACTCGCTCTATTTTTCTTATTTTTGATAAAAATTGTCGAGAGCAATTTAGATCTCCACTATTGTCTTTGTCTTGCTTTTTGGTGTAAGATACAAGTGATTTTATGTTGGTTCTCTTAAAGGTTTATTTTGTATAAATCTTAAAGCTTAAGAACAACATATATACAAGTGAAGACTAACATCTTTGGTGGCTGACTCTTGCTTAGTGGATATCACTAGAGAGATTCTACTTTGGAGCTTGTTGTCATCTTCATCAACTTCATAATTGACAAAAGGAACCAAAGTCATCAAAGGTTGTGAAATTAACTGTAGAGTTCTTATGGGATATGTTGCCCTCGCGACTTTAAAACACGTTTTGACAAGGAAGGTATCCCCACCCTTATAAGAAAATGTTTTGTGCTCCTTCCAAGCCGATGTGGGATCAAGTGAAGGTTGCCACCCACCTTCACCTCACCCCCCCCCATTATAGGGTTCGACCTCTCTGTCAAACACATCGACCCATGCCCCGACTCTAGTACCATTTGTAACATCCACCTGGAATGTATCACAATATTAACTGCTTTGGGCTCTCGTTATGAGGACTTCCCAGGAGGCCACCAATCTCGGTACTACTCTCGCCCGAGCACGCTTAACTATAGAGTTCTTATGGGATATGCTTCCCTTACGGCTTTAAAATGCATTAGGACTGGGAAGGTATCAACATCCCTCATAAGGAATATTTAGTTATCCTTTTTAGCTGATTTGGGATCAAGTGCAACCCACCTTCACCCCATTTACAGGGTTTGATGTCCTCGTCGGGGACATCCGATAAAATTGGAACGATACAGAGAAGATTAGCATGGACCCTGTGCAAGGATGACATGCATAAATCAAGAAATGGTCTAATTTTCAAGATGGGTTGCATCTGATCTCACATTGGTTGGAAAGAATAACTAAATATTCCTTATGAGGGATGTTGATACCTTCCTTGTCACAACACGTTTTAAAGTCGTGAGGGTATCAGATCCCATAAGAAATCTACAGTTAAGCGTTCCTGGGTGAAAGCAATTCAGGGATGAGTGACCCCTAGGAAGTTTTTGTGTTGGGAGCCCAAAGCAGAAAATATTGTGATACGTGCTAGATGGGGATGTTACAATAAAGACGATCATTTTCAGTCGAAAATTGTGATTTTACTGAATTTTAAAGTATTAACTTGGAAGTGTACCAAGTTATACACCATGGTGGATTTAACAATAAACTTGGAGTATATTGCAACTGGTCAGATTGCAAAGGAAGTTATGTGACTATATCAAATTTATTAGTGACATCATTGTTGAGGTTCAATCATTGATGGTCCTTTTGAGTGTTCTTTGTGATTTAAAGGGTGAACTTACCTCGAGTATGGATCCCAACGTCAAAAAAGCTCACATGGCGTATATTATGTAAGTACAACCATATCTAATAGTTGTTCGGATGTGCAGACATCATAGTTAATAGAGTTATATCAAAAGAAATACTTGTCGATCCATTCGCTAAGTTAACAAGTCTGATAGTAAGACTTGGTGATGAGGTATTTGATTTGCAAATGATTTGACTTGAGCCCACTTCAAATAGTTTGTTTTAAATTTGAGAACTTAAGCAATATAAAGTCTTAATCTGATTTGGCGATTATTAAGTAGAGATCTTAATATATGATGGAGATCAGTCATTTCAATTAGTTTATCAGTGTGTTCTCATTTTGCATGTTTAGAACACACTTCCTGAATATTAATTTATTCAAAACTCCACAACCGGTCATACTCTTAGGAGTGAGTATTGAGTTAAGATTGTCATGAAATGTCAGTAGATTGTCTGTAGTGATTATACATGGCATGGAGATTGGGACTAACATTCATGAGTTTTTAATGGAGATTTATGTATTGGAACAACCCGCACTTGGAAAGTTATTTCATGGATATAGCTACGAGTAATTCAAAGATGATAATATTTTTTTATTCTTAAAACGAAGAGACGTTGAGTTCTTTGCACATAAGTTGGTTGTACATTGGTCCTTCTCTAACGTTATTCATAATTGGTGGTTATAACGAGTAAGTGCATGCATGATTTGACAAGTAGACAAAAATAAAATATAGTTAAAGTTTATTTGTTTCTTCTTCCTTAATAGGAGAAGCGATATCTAAGGGTGAGCAAAACCGAACCTGAAAACCCAAAAACCAACAAAAATCGACGAAACCGAAAACGAAAAACCAAAACCAAAACCTAACCGTCGTTTGGGTTTTAATTTCTTAAAACTGAAAAATTTGGTTTGGGTTCGGTTTCGGAAATATTAAAAACCGAAAAAAACTAAACCGAATCGAATTTATAAAATATAATCTATGTTCTATATATATATATATATATATATATATATATATATATATATATATATATATATATATATATATATATATATATATATATATATATATATATATATATATATATATATATTGTCTCATGGTAAGTGCTTTGATGTAGAAGATTACGTGTGTCATAAGTCTCTAGTTCGAATCCCTTGCCAACATTTATCTTGTCTTTTATTTGGAAAGTCATAGAATGTGTCCCACATCGCATGTGTATAAAAACAATAATCCTCTTCTTCTCTTATATAATGTACCAAAGAATCCATATCGGTTGATGAAGAGAACATTCACCTTTTTCATCATCTATACATGAAAGTTTCCAAGTCTCACCAAGTGTGTTTGTAATTTGGTTTGGGTATTGGATTCCGTTTTAAAATTTTAAAAACCGATAATATTGATTAGGTTTTGGGTTTGGATTTAGGTCAAAACCGACCAAAGCTGACTCATGCTCACCCCTAGCGATATCATTGGGGCTCTCGATGATTTCATTTTGATATCTAATGTGTCTGGCTAGGTCCGGACTAAATTGACGTGTTCAATTGGTAGTCTGATTTAATCATCAGAAATCGGAAAATCGAGAAACATAATGTTGAAATGTTAGGTTGATTCATAATCCATGATTCATTTCACAATGGTATCTTGTAGAAATAGAGGGATAATTGATCACTTACTAAGGGTTGATTCTTGATGTGATCAGAGTTTGACAGTTGTTGTGGCAGGCACACTTTGTTGGTTTTTAGAAGAATATTTGACCAATAGTACTTTGATGACTTGTTCAAGTGGGAGACGGTTGGAAATAAGTGTCCAATGTCATAACTAATTGGTATAACTTTATGAACAATAACAAATTTCTTTTAGGGTTTCCCTCAAGAGCTAAAATTAGCTACAAAAGGATTTGGGGGGGGGGGGGGGGATAATTTCTTAATTTATTACTAGTTAATAAATTAATTAAAAACTAGTTATAATCAATTTAAATTAACTGGAATTAATTAGAATTAATTTGGATTTATTTAAAGGTACATAGACTGAGTGTTAATTGTTCTAACACTTGAGTACGAGGAACATTCTAGAATCACTAATGGGGTGGACGGTTTTGGAGAGGATTTAGAAACTTTCTAGAATCGAGCCTAATGGATGATAGAGAAAGGATTTGAATATGGATTAAATCTTATTATTTAATTGATTCAAATCAGGTTTGTCTACAAGTTACCTCAACTATAAGTGGGCCCTTTGAACCTTCATAATTTCGTTTCTAATCTTCCATGCACTCTAAGAATCTAATTTTCTCAATTTCTCTCTCCTCTCTACTTGTTTTCTAGGGTTTTAGACTTTTGGGTGTGATCATTTAGAGACATTCTACTGTGGGTGCTAGTCCTTCTAAGAAGCCACCAAGAGTTCAAGATCTTCAAGGGAATCAAGAGTAAATACGATTTTACTTTTAATGTTAGTAATTCTATATCTCTTGGTAGTTGAATTCATAGTTTTGAAATTATGTTGTTGTAATAGTAAAACCTAGATCTATGGTGCATGTACACTTAGGGTTATTTATAAATGCTTCCACTACCTAAAATTCATGTACAGATGCATAGAAAACCCAACAAGTTTATTATTTAGGACTTTGGAACTATAGAAAAGGATCTCCATGGTAAATTCACAACTCCTTCCCTTGATGAAATCAATACTAAGCTAGAGAATATTGGAGGGATGAGATATGGAGCCACTATTGAACTTGAGATAGATATTGTATTTAGAAGCCTAATAGAAAATAAGAGTTTATTTAGGTTGAATCAGAATCACCTGTATACAGATTCAAATATTAATGACCATGAATTCCACCACTCGATCAAAACATTGCTCGAAAAATCTTAATTAGTCTTGAACTTTTATGGCCGCTGATAATAAGAAAACTACGAAAGAAGGTGATGGATTTCCTTGATAACCACTAGAAGCGAAATTGTGGTTTTGATCACTTAGGTGATATCACTAGAACAAGAAAGAAATGATCAGCAAAATCTACGAACAACAAATCATCTTTCCCAATAGAGATCCATCTGCAGCATTCTTTATTATTGAAGTTTAGGAGGTGTAGCAGACAGTTAATCAAGTAGTGCGTCTTGTATCCGTACTTTTTAAAATACTATATATGGAGTGTATGTATTAAAGGTTCATATATGATATTTACACACATGTGCTCGAAAATTCTTGTTCTTATATTTTATATACTTATGTTTATTCTATATTTACATTCCAAACTACTATGTCATTTTGTATTTAAGGACCATAAACTAATCCTATCATATTGTATATTGAAGAATTGCATGCGACACAAACATAGACAACTCTTTATAGGAGTCGAGAGTTGGAAAGAAAAATTAGTCTGGATTTTAGTAGGGTTTTTAATTAAGCCATATATTTTTTTTATTGTAGTACTTAATAATTTTAGCATAATTCGTGTTATATTTTATATTAATTTTATTTACTCTTAAAATAAAATAAATGTGTTTGTATGAGTGCTCATATGTTTTCTCATCATAATTAAACTATGAGAAATAATAATTATTTATTTTAAATATATAAATATGAAAATAGAGAGTAAATTACCACTTTGCTTTCATCAACAAGGATTCCAGTAGAGAGATGTGAGTATAATTCCTCTTTGGTACTATATGTTGGAAGGGCATTTGTCATCATATGTATGGCTTTTATGATCGCATAGTCTGCCTGTAATTAAACAAGTATCATGTAAGTAAATGTTCAGTTGGTTAGTGTGGTATGATTTGGAATCCTTAAAGAAATTAAAAAAATCAAATATGTAAATTAAGGAATAGATGCATGGTTTAAATATTTTGTCCCTTGTGTTTTATCAATAAATGAACTAAAGATGAAAATATCAATATAATTGAGGCTTTTTGTATGTAAATATTGTATATATTAACATAAGCCCAATTAGCCCATTGGCATAGGATTTTCCTACGTTTGGGGATCATGCCTCCATATATACTTGTATATATACTTGTATCTTCTCATTGTAATTATATCATTTAATTAGTATACTTTAACATCAATTTTTTTCTTGTTTACATGGTATCAAAGCAAGGTTTAACATTAAATAATATATTATTTTGAGCACTTGTGAGTGTCAAAATCACTCTTCATCCTACATAATCATTGTTGAAGTGAGTATTGTTCACAATGGAATCATTGTTCATGGGTTACTACTATTTTTATTTTTTTTTGATTAAGGCACCCAATATGTGCATTGCTTTCTTCCGTTTTTATTATGAGTTATGATTTAGGAGCCACATGAGTGCGTTGTTTTGTGAGTTTTCTGGTCTAGGAACCCTATGAGTCTTCTTTTTAATCGACATTACATATTTTCTACCGATGTTATTTGGATCGTTTTTTCAGAGTTTATCATTTGGGAAACACAATAAGCACACAGTTTTATATTGTTTATTCTGAGTTATGATTTGGGCACCATATAAGTGCATTATTTTATGAGTTTTATAATTTGGGCACCACATGAGTGTCTTCTTTCTTCTACCAACATTAGATATTTTTTCCTACTTCGCTTGGAGTTCTAACTTGATATCCGAAGAGACCAGAAAATGACTACATGTGGTAAAAAATATTTGTGTTTTTGGTCATATTACTATTACGATATCTACATAAGAGTATACTCAACTTTCAAGATATAAAAATTCATATGTGTCGACTCAACCACTTTTTTCGAAGCATGTAACCTTAGTAAGTGCCTATTATCTTCTTCCTCCAAATGGGGTCATTTTTTCAAGTGCTTCAGATCACACGACAAGCAACCATAATTCTATGATTTTAAAAACTATAGAACTTGATGTCATGTCACAATTGTAAATAGATATACCCCTCGATTTCTGATGTTCAGGCAACATCCACTTCAATTTCATTAACTTTAGTTTTGAGTTACCAAAATTCCCGTTCAATTTGGTATATATCGGTAAAATTACACGTGCTTTGAAATGTAGTGTCACAACTTTTTCCTGATTATATATATATATATAATATATATATATATATATATATATATATATATATATATATATATATATATATATATATATATATATATATATATATATATATATAGAGAGAGAGAGAGAGAGAGAGAGAGAGAGAGAGAGTGTCAAGATCAAATAAGAAGGAAATTTTGGTAAAAAGGTAAGAAGTTTTTTTTCTACATATTTTTTTGACGAACAAAATCAATGTATCACTAGATGATTCATTTCTAAGATGATTCACAAGAAAAAATTCTCAAAAAAACATCTTTATGATTCATTTATACAATGATTTTGTTGTTATTCACTAAAATTATCATAAAAATGAATTTTTTCTTAATTTACTTAAAAATGAATCATAAAGATGTTTTTTTGAGAATTTTTTCTTGTGAATCATCTTAGAAATGAATCATCTAGTGATTCATTTATTTTGTTCGTCAAAAAAATATGTAGAAAAAAAACTTCTTACCTTCCTATCAAAAAAAATTTCTTACCGGATCTATATATATAATATATATATATATATATATATATATATATATATATATATATATATATATATATATATTATATATATATATATATATATATATATATATATATATCATCCTTGAATGTAAGTTATCTTTATTATCATTAACTTACAATAAGTTTAATATACATCATGATGTCAATTATCTATCTGTATTTGATTTAGTAAAAACGATATGTAATATGTTTAATATCATTAATATCTATTGAAATTTATTTATTTTTTGTTGTTTTAGAACGACAATCATTGGAATTAGTAATTATCAATGATTTGAAGATTTATAGCTAACAACAAGTATATATATATATATATATATATATATATATATATATATATATATATATATATATATATATATATATATATATATATATATATATATATATATATATATATATATATATATATATATAATGTTTTGTATTAATATATCCTGAAAAATGATTTTATTCTATTTTATCATATATTTTATGGCAATTTTGTTTGTAGAGATTTTTTGGGATTGCAATTATGTTATATGAATAATATGAATAATGATATAAAAGTTGTGACGTTATTGTCAAGTTCAGTAGTTAAATATTAAATACATTATATATTTCACAAAAAATATTAAAATATTATAAAAATAGATACTTAGAGTCAACAAAAAAATGAAATTTGGTTATCATTAAATAATATTAACTTTTAAAAAACTATTTCTAATAAATGAAAATCTTTTTACAACATGTCACTCTCATTGATTTTGGCACATGTCAGTTTGTGGTTATATTCAATTAAAAATTTTCTACATGACATTTTCCGGTTTTTTTTTTTTTTTCTTCAAATTTCACATAATATTTAAATGTAACAATTATAGTAAATGTAATAAAAATACATCTCAATTTCATTAATTTACTTTCTTTTTAATTTTAAAATTTATAAATTAAAACCTCATTAGTTTCTTTTGTTTATTTATCTAAATTATTTGTTTAAATTAAAAAAAAAACATATTAATTCTAATAATTCAATAGTTTTCTAATTTTTTAATAAATTCAAACTTTTAAATATTTAGAATTTCATATTTAATTTTTTTTATATATACCCATATAATACATAAATTTTACAACTATTAATATAACATATAATCTTACCGACAAAACTGAAAGTTATGATGATATTTTATTCTAAGAAGCTTCTAATCTAAATTCCAACATGTTATTACTTTTTTATAATCCAATTTCCAGCATTGTTTTTAGTTTTAACTTCAAAAAAACTATTTATTATATTTATCGGTTAGTTATTTATATTTTTTTTATAATTATATATAAGTTATTTAGACTATTTCGGATTTTAAAATGTAAAACTAAAGAAAAAACATCATAAATGGTTCCTGTGGTTACCCAAAATCTGAAGTTTAATCCTCGTGGTTTAAAAACCTCATAGATGGTCCTTGTGTTTTCAAAACTTTTGACGATTGGTCCTTATTGCTAACTCTGTTAACTTTTGTCCGTTAATTAAAGGGCAAATTCGCCATTTAACACCACAGGGACCATTTATGATCTTTCCACTTATTATTATTATTATTTTAATGAAATAATATGCAAATCGTAAAGATCCCCAAATCCACCACTGGCACCTTAAACTTCGTCGTCTCATTCAATTCCTCAAACGTCACCACCAAATTCCCAAGCCTCACCACAAATTCAATCAATAGTGAAGTAAACGTCACCAAAGAAAGAACGCTTGCACTCTTATACGTATCCCCTTCATCTTGTATCACCATTCTTTCCGGTTTAAACGAGAATTTCAGAGTCAGTGATTTTCTGAAAACCATTTGTACCCGCGAATGGCAGATTTGTAGCTCCAGGACTCCTTGCTGTTCCCAAATCGAGTCGAGCTTCGCTAAACGAATGGTACCCGTGGTATTTGTAAGGGTCGTCGTCGTCGGTTTTTGAGATGTCTTGTATGTCTTGAAATTCAATTGGGGGTTTTCTGATTTCACAACTGTTTGCATCGACGAGAAGGTAGGATTTTCGATCGAATTGTGTTTGTAGGTATTTCGCATCTGTTTCTGGTTTTCCAAATGTGATCGAGAAATCGAAGCTATGGGATGTGGTTGAAGAGCAACCAAAGCTCTTGCGCTTCCTTCAATGGCAATTTAAACGAAGAAATTGAGATTCTCTACCTCCATTTCAACTTCTGGGTATTTACTCAGTTTAACTTCATTTTTCTCAATTTAATTTCTGTGTTATTTTGTGGATTTTAACTATTCGAGCTAACTTCAAGCACAAACAACGATTAATTGGTAACTATCTAAGATTTTTTATTGTTATAGTTGCTTGATTTGAATCCACTTACTTTGATTTTCTGGAAGAAGGGTTTATTGCATTTGCATTCGATCAATTTTGGTTTGACCTGGAAGGTTGGAATGAGATTATGTGTTGACTAGATCATTGAACCAAGTTTTGTTGGTCATAAGCAGTTTTAAAGTTCATTTATTTCTTGATTTTGTTATAATGTATAGCTTAAAGTAGCGTTTGTAAAAGGGTTAATGATGGATTTAAAATTGCATACACAACTTCACCCTAATGAAGTTGATGATAAGATGATGAAGTTAAACATGGTAGGGAGATGTTTAAGTTTGTGTGTATTTGATTGAGTTTCGATACAAAGAGAGACCATTTGCATATTATTTCATTTTTTTTCTTTTTTTTTTTAATAAGTGAAAACATCATAAATGGTCCTTGTGATAGTGAAATGACGAAAATGTCCTTCAGTTAACGGACAAATTTAACGGAGTTAACAATAAGGACCAATCGTCAAAAGTTTTGAAAACACAAGGACCATCTATGAGGTTTTTAAACCACAGGGACTAAACTTCAGATTGTGGGTAACCACATGGACCATTTATGATATTTTTTCAAAACTAAAAAACTAAACCAAAAAATGACATATTGTAATCCATTTTAATCTTTCAGTTTAAATGTAAGTGGAATAGAGGTCACATTTAGGGGTTTATGTTTTTAGATGGAAAATGAAAAAAAATCAAATTTTGTTGGAATAAGAAATGAAAAGATAAGACTTTAGAAGTGAATCGGTTTTTTTAAAAACGATAAATAAATATTTAAAATAAATTTTTAATAATAAATTCATTAAAAACATATTCATTGTTATTATAAAAATGTGAAATATATAAAAAACTAAATTAATTTTATTAAATACTTTATTTTATATTTCCATTATATGTTGTAATTTATTCTAGATTTTTGTATTAAAATTATTAAATTTTCTATTTACATTTCATTCTTTTTCATTTAAAAAAAATTCAAAAATTATATATGTTAATTTAATAGGAGTATTATTTTAATAATGCAACTCAGCTTCTAATTAGTATGTATTTATGGATTGAACTTTAAAATCATTACATTATCTTATTTTTACACGTATAACTCTCATGAAAAAACGGATTCACAAGCTTAGAAGTGTTTATTGTTATGTTTTCTCTTTTAATTTAACTTTTAAGATAATTAATGTAAATTATATTTTTAATGTTTTACTGTTTATATATAATTGACTTTAAAATTATGATTATGTTATTTTGTTTGAGTTTTGAATGAAAAAATATTATTGATACAAATATCTATTGTAATTACCGGTTTTTATTTAGTTTTTCATATTTTTATTAGATCTTGAAGTTTTAATGTATCTCTTTATATATAGATCGAGAAATTAAATATCCTTTTAACATTTAATGTTTATTTAATGATATTTTTATATACTAATAGGTAGGAAAATTTGTACACTTCTATTTTTGGTCAACGAGTATACACCTAATTTTATTAAAATAAAATAATAAAAATTGTTCTTAGGACCAAGAAATCCACTTTGAAACTAATACTTCAATACTGTTGGAACTTTGTTAAATGGAAAACAATCTCTTTGGAACTTGTTCTACATTGGAAGAAAGAGGAAACTTATACTCCCTTAAAAAGCCTCTTACTAATTGTTTACTAATTAGATCAAAAGCTTGGACTAGAGGGATTGGATTGGATTTGGTGATTGGGCTAGTCAAATTAGTCTTGAAAGCTTATATTAATATATATATTTAATGGTCAAAGATTGGCCAAGGGGCTCTTGGGGTCTCATTGACTAGTTACAATATTTTATATATATATATATATATATATATATATATATATATATATATATATATATATATATATATATATATATATATATATTAATTTCGATTTTGACTTTTATTATATATTAAAAATCTGTTAAATTCGTTTTAACTGTTTTGACAGTTTTTTTCGGTTAGCAGTTTTGAAGGGAAAAACCAGTCAATCTATATGTATAAATAGATCACCAAAGACCAGATTTTGGGTTCAGAAAAGAACATAGAGAATTTCGTCAGAATCAAGAGATGTTCTTGGTTGATTGTTGTATCCTCTAGACAGATCCCTACCAGGGAAATTTCTGTCTTAGGACACTGCAATTTGCAGGCTTCAATCTACATAATTTCGTTTTTTTTTTTTTTTTTTTTTTTGTAAACATATACCATCAAGTATGTTTTCTGTAAATTGATTCTTGTATATTTCATATAGATATTTCAATTTCGTTTGTTTTATTTCTATTAATCTTGTTGATTGTATACTTCTGTCATAGCAAATACTACTTTTTGGATAGTTGTAAGGAAAAAAGTGTATTCGTTTTGGTTATTTAACATATAGATAACACCAATAAACATCAAAATGCGAACTTACTTGCAAGTTCAATATCTCCCCAAGTTTCTGTACCACCAAACAAATTACAAAAATGTGTGAGTTGAGTTCATTGTAGTTAATTTTGCATATATAGATCGACATTTAACAAGGGAATTATAAAGAGATAAAAACTTACATGCAATTCCAATGTTTCCGCAAGTTTCTGTATCATTAGGCAAATTTTCATAAAAGTGTACGAGTTTACGGATGTTTATTTCTCATGCATTAAAATAAACTAATTACATGTTATAACTTTCAGCAAATATGAACTCACATGTAATTCCAAAGCTTCCTCAGATTCCTATATATACGACATAAAGAATTTTAGAAAAGTGTTTGAATTCATTCGAGTTGATTTGTAGAGTATAGACATGTACAATGGGATGGAGCCTCTTAATTTTCAAAAATAACTTTTGTCTTACTTTCAACATGGATACTTCTGCAAATTCCTATACCAGCAAATGTAAAAGTGTTCAAAAAGTGTATTAATTTGTAATTTATATAAAGATGGATAAATATCTTAATTTTCAATAAATTCCAACTTAATTACCTGCTCTTGCAACATCTCCACAAGCTTCTGTACCACCAAACGAAATTTTCAGAAAACATGTGAACTGATCACTCTCTCTCTCTCTCTCTCTCTCTCTCTCTCTATATATATATATATATATATATATATATATATATATATATATATATATATATAGACACAAAGTAACCTCTTACTTAGTTTAAATAAATTTGTACATACTTGCAATCCTAATGCTTCTTCAAGTTCCTGTACCACAAAAACAAATTTAATTTGAAGATGTGTATTAATTTGAAGATGTGTATTAATTCATTCATTGTAATTTAATTCAGCATAAGGGGAACCCCTTAACATTCGATTGAACTTACTTGCAATTCACATGCTTTCTCAAATTCCTGCACCAACAAATAAGTTTTAAAAAAAGTCATATGAGTTTATTCTAGTTAATTTGGAAAATATAGAGTTGTGTATATAACATACCTGCAATTCTATAGCTTCCAAAACTTCCTACATATAGCAGGAAACAGAATTTCAAAAAAGCGTACAAGTCATATGTTCAATTCATGCAAGTTGATCATTATTATGGACACTATAATTTTGAAAAAATTGAATCTTACTTGCAATACCAATGCTTCCACAAATTCCTGTAACACCGGATATGTGATGAGAAATATGTGTATAAGTTAATTTAGCATACATAGACACAAATTAAGGAGCTAGCCTACTAATTGTCAATGAACTTCAACTTACTTGCAATTCAAAAGCTTCCTCCAGTTCCTGTATATATATATCAGCAAACAAATTTTCAGAGAAGTGAAAAGAAAAGAATCATAATAAAACCATTCAACATATATATATATATATATATATATATATATATATATATATATATATATATATATTTGAATTGAACTTACATGTAGTTCCAATGCTTTCAAAAGTTTCCATAACACCAAATCCATTGAAGGTCGTGCTTCCTGAACATCATTCAAGCATCGATAAGCAATATCCGAAAACTCTTTCAGGGATTTTGAATCAGCCTTGAAATTAAGATCAATAATCTCATTTAATTTTCCATGTTCGTAGTAGTGTCTAGCCCGTGGAACATGAAGTCGTTTTTCACCAGCTATATCCATAAAGAACAACCTCCCACATAACGCTTCAAACAACACAACGCCAAACGAATAAACATCCGACTTTTTTGTTAATATCCCAGTATTTATGTATACAGGATCACAGTAACCAAGCGTCCCACCAGCATTGGTGATGAGGTAAGTGTCCATTTCATTCGCACGACCTATTTTGGAAAGTCCGAAATCCGCAATCATAGCTTTCCAGTTGTGACCTAAAAGAATATTTGCACACTTTATATCCCTGTGGATAACTCTATGATGTGCTCCAACATGGTGATGAAGAAAATCCAAACCACGGGCTGCATCGATGCATATATTCATCCGTTGCCTCCATGTCAGTTGACACACTCTAGATCTATTCTTTAGGTGTTTGTCGAAGCTTCCATACTCTGCGTACTCATATATAAGGATCTTTTCGTTGGCTTCCTCACAATAACCAACAAGGGAAACTACGTTTAGATGCTTATAACGAGACAGCAGGTTGATCTCTGTTAAGAACTCTTTGAGCCCTTGACCAGAAAGGCTAACTATTGGTAGGCGTTTCACAGCGACAGAGGTGAGATTACCAGAAAGTGAGAGTTTTCCTTTATAAACAGGGCCATATCCACCCTCCCCGATGATGGTTGTGAAGTTTTTGGTGGCTATTTCAATGTCTTGAAAGGGTATTCTAAGAATAAGATGATCTAACTCCTTTTTGAAAAACATACTTTTTGTATATATCACGAAAAGTAAAAAGTGAAAAGCGATGATATATTTATATATGCTGAGGAAGGAATTGAAGCAGACAAAGACAAAGTCAAAGATGAGACCCAGGGGATCGAAGCAGAAGCTGCTATTTATCCGGAAAAAATAAAAGTTAAGAATTCACCTCCCCAATTTCAATTTGTTGACTCCATCATGTATGCAAACAAACACACAGACGGTTAATTTGATATATATGGTGGCATGAGTCGCAAACAAAATCAGTAAAAATCAACGTTCCTCCTGATATTTTTCTCCTCATGATATGGCGCTTCCAAGTATAATTTAATATCTAAATTAAAGGGAAGCAAACAGATCGTACGTGCTAAGCCATTTCCCAACGAGATCTAATCCAAATCGCCAAAATCTCTACTTCAACATCTTTAGAGAGGCAAAGATTAGTTTGCTGAAAAAGCTACTACCACCAGAGGTCGATGAGATGTGCAATATGCATATTGACATACATACACCAACCGACGTCTATCTGTTGAACTAATTAAACGAAAGAGGGAGAAAGATCTAGAGGTGAGCAGTGACGTCGTCTGGAGATATTGAGAACCGAACAGGGGACGCAGCTAGCTGAGAGAGACGGATGTGGTGGCTAACGGCGGAAACAGTGGGGGTCGGCGAAGTTAATTTTATGAGGTCTCACAAGTAATAATACCATGCATCATATCTTTCGATCGCAACGCGGGTCAACTGCGACAGACTTTGTTTAATATTCAGAGTAATCTATCCATTACCTAATGCTGGCAGGTAGGCAGCTCATACCATTACTATTCGGTTGAAATAAATAAAAATAAAAATAATAAAACAGATACAACCCATTTATTTCATCCGTGGTGCCAACGTTGTGGGATTTTAATTATTCAGTTTTAAATAATTGAACAAAGCTATCAAAATGTCTAATGTCTAATCACTAATATATATTATTTAAAATTTAAAATTTCAATTTTTTATTACTTCTACTAATATATATAAATATATAATAGATTTTTTTCAATTATTATATCTTCATCTTCACCTTCATCTTCATCTTCTATCCTAATAAAACAGTACAAAAAACACCACGTGACAATCTCTTAACCTCTCCCAAGCTATTTTTCTGTCTAAGTGAATTTCCAAAAATGCCATTGTTGTCAATTCAACGCACAGTGGAGAAAAATCAGGAAAGCCATCCTCATAATAATTCAAAATCAAATTAAATCCCATTAAATTGGTAACACGATTCGTCAATTAACATGATCTGCAAAAAATAAATCATACTCAATTAAAAAATTCAAACTCAACTTATTGCCTTTTTAAATCCATTTAATTTGCTTCCATATTTTCTGCATTCTTACCATATTCTCAGGGATAAGTGATCTTGTAATTCGAATTCAAATTATAGCTTCCTACTACGCATCTTCCTCACTGATTCGCTGCAAAATGGCATAACACGATGCCGCTAGACGACCAAGCAGTCGTCGCCCCGATGACGCGGTACTTGGTTTAGCGTGAACAATATTACAGTCAGCAAGTTCAAGACAACCTCCTTAAACAAAGTCAAGAAGGCACCCTCTGTCAGCATCTCCAATGTCCCATTTGTCCTCTCTCAGCTTTCCAATCAAGAGTCAGATACGACTACTTTCAGAGATGAGAATATCGTCATCGTTTTATGAGTTGTAGAGACGAAATTCGTCGCCAACAGCAATCGGAAGAAACAAAACATTTTGGTCCCTAATGAGTCTAATGAGAAAGCAGTTATCTTGCAGAGACCGGACACGGTATATATATTCCATATCTTAATCGTACTTTCTTTCACATGAATTCTCTCAAAAAAAATTCATATGTTTATATATTGGGGATTTTCTGATATGCGTCATTTGAACTAAGTATGACTGCTCAACCAAAAATTTAGATCATTCTTCCTTTAGTAGTTTACTTATCTTTTAGGGTTTGGTGTAATGTTTGTGTAAATAGCATAACTAATTCGACCAGTTTTTTGCTGATCGAACCGATCTCTGTTTATTTTTTATATACCCCTTCTGTTGCATGACTGATCGAAGTGATTTCTTTTCATTCTTATAAATCCTATTTTCTTCTATGTCCAGTTCAAAGTCTAACTGATCTTGAATTCGTGCAGACTGCAACAGTATATATACAACAAATGGAGGAGATTCTTTACTTGTGCACACCCAATTGGTAATTTACTGCTAGCAATCATCCGGTGCTTTGGGGTTTTGGAAGGTGCAACCCAACATAGATTTTAAGGTAGAAGCTTTTAGAAGTTTATGTAAAGAGGAAGCTTTCTAAAATCGATTTTTTGATAAAAGTGTATGTAAAGATGAAGCTTTTGAGGTCTGGATGGATTTTATTTTTTGAACTTGAAAGCATAGCTTTGTGGTGTTGTCTCAAGTAAAGGCTTTTCAACCTCTGTGTTATTTTATGCCTTTTTGGTTTCATTGTTGATGGGTTTTTATGGGTTGGTCTGTTGTGAAATGGGCGTTTATTCTACAAGATCGACTTAATATTCCTGCTTATTTGTTCTTTTTAGTAGGGTAATATGATATATTTGAGTAAATCTTTCATCTTTTGTCACAATGCGAAATTGCTCTGAAAATTCAAATTAAACACTCTTAATCCTTAAAATTCAAGAAATGTCTTCAAGTAAGCACTCTCCTTTTTGCAATATTTTATCATTATTGTAAAAAACACATCATCGTGTATTTAAATTGTTTAATCTTTCTCATAAAAACAAGTTATTTGTGTGCCACTTCTGTTTTTTGACATTTTCAACGAGTCAAAGGGGATATCTCAATTGAACAAACTTAACTCTTTTTATATTTTTTATGGCTACAATTTCGTTATATTTAATATTGTTAGGGTTTATGTGGTTCAATTTGCAGGAACCGAAGGATTTCTATCGACAACTTCATGTAGCATCAGGTTTATTATACCATCTTTATTAATCTAATCAATGTGATGAAATAACAACTAATGCCCTAATGCTATGTATTAGGAAGCAAAGTAAAAGGAATATCGAAACAAGTTGCTGATAAAAAGGGTTTGATTGCTTGAGGTTAGACTTATGGAGCTTATTTCCATGGAGGCCATTGATAATTATGGGGTTTGCCCACTGTTTTACCAACCTGTTTTTTAGATTGTTAAACTAATCTATACTTAATATGATATTAATGTGGAATCTTTAAAAATGTTGTCTGAGATTGTTTTTTATTTTTTTATTTCCAACTTAATGACATTTAAACCCACAAAACTTGCACGATTTTATATATTTGATGTAACCAAATAGCAAGGAATCTGTTGTATATACTAATTTTTGGAATTAGGTATATCCATTTTATTTCATGTTTTTAAAGGAATGAAATATTTGTGTAATCACTCATCACAGTGAGTTTATTTTAGTGGTCTTGTGTATTGTTTTAAAGTATGTGTATATTGGATATTCTTATTTTCTTTTTAATGAGGTTGATTGTTGCACATAATTTCCTTTGGATATGTCAAAATATATTACATATGATATAAAGTAAAAAATAGGCCGGTCAAATTTATGTTAGTTCTTTAATGTTGTAAAAAATGTTAAAATGTTTTTATTTAAAATGGTTTATATATACATGTTGCTACTAAAATAAGTTATCCATATTGTCAAATTTACAATAGCTCTTTTTCTTCCATTCCTTTGATCAACAACATTTATTAGGTTTGTGTGTTATTTAAATTTGAACAATATAATTTTGAACATGATCATTTTATAATTAATCTAGACATAAAGAAATTTTCTCATATCTTCAAACCATCTTATATATTAATTTAAATTAACGATTATGTAAATACGGTCAAAACATCTAACTCTTTAAACTTAACTGCTTGTAAGTCTATGATTAGATTACATTTTTTTTATTAATTTTAATGATGTTTTACTTTCTTAACCGTGTGGTACACGTTATAACCTAGTGCTTAATAAAACACTCCTAAACCAGCCAAGTGTCATCTTATAAGCATTGTCTTATGACACGTATCATTTCACTATTATTCTGCTCTCTCTTTTTCCCACCCAATGATTTTGATCATCCGTCCACATTCAATTCCTAAATATTAGAATTGATGTTATAATATTCAAAAATCAACCTAATTTAGCTTAACTCAATTTTAAAATCGACAATCAATATTTAAAAATCAGAAAGTAAGTAGCAAGAAATCAGGAACCTAATCTTTTCCAAATTTGAATCTGATACCCTATGCATTCTGTTGAATTCATATAATGGTTTTTTCATATCGATTGTTACTTAGTTAAGAAATTACTACTTATTTCTTCTTTTAGGTACTCAAGCTGCTCCTAGGAAGATCGATGTTGCTGACTGCAGTAAAACTCAATGGAATCACATCTAAATCAGCTATATATATATATATATATATATATATATATATATATATATATATATATATATATATATATATATATATATATATATATATATGTATCAATCAAACATATTTCCTTTAGGGCAATTAGTGTAGTTGAGCATCGTTTGGAATCTGCAACTATCTCCATATTATCTTTGCTTTCGTCTTCCAATACACCCCCGATTCCTTCGCTACTCCCATCGATTTACATTTACTCTTGCCTCGTCTCTATGAAAACCCTAGAAATTTGTTGAACCACCACCTTACCTCCATTACTACACCCCACCATCGCCTATGCTAATCTAAACCAATACCCAAAACACGGTAGCCAAAACACCATGTCTCTTCCACCATCATATGACTTCAATCACTACCCGATTTTCTGTTGTATTCTGTGCCACTTCCTTCTCAGTCTCTCTAACTTTCGACTTGCTTTCTTTCTCATGCATCTCACGGTTACTGAAAAAGATAGAACATAAGCAGCAAATCAACGGGTTTGAAGATAAGGTGTATATGTTTCTAACTCCTAATGGCCTTTTGGATTGTGATTCGTTCTTTTG